ATAACGGTCACAACTGCACGATATGCAAAATCTCTTCATGTTCATGGGGAAAATCATGTACAATTTATGACATGTTTTTGAGTAGTGCGATTCGGCGTTAGTCGCAGAGCCATACTATTTGCGCACTTGTGACCGTTGCTTAGCTATCATCCATGGATGTTGAAGCAAAGTTCGCATCGCAATATCATTTTTGATTTTTCCAATTTTAATTTAAATGGCCTGCATCTTGTTTTGAATTTTTAGGGTACGGAATTCTCAACTTGGATTTGGTTGTGATTTTGTAGTCTCTTGTTTCTTTCTTCAGTTCTTCTGCAAAATATCTAACTGTGAGTGCTTAACACCATTATTTTGCTTTTTTTTTTTTTGTGCGACGCTTTCTGTTGAGATGTCGCAGTTCGATTAGGTTTGTTCAAAAGGCTCTATTCAACCAATGTTAATTTGAGTCATCCAGAATAAACGAGTCAACAGAATTGTGGTTTTACATGTGAACCTGGAAGGAGCAACATTATGATAACTAATCTTTTGCTTTTGTAGAGCCTCCCATCTATTGAATAGTACGAAGCATTGTTGCACAGCTAAGATGAGTTACGGTGGTTACGGAAACCGTGGTGGCTACGACTATCAAAGAAGAGACCGCATCAATGAAGATGAGGTCCCTGAGTCCAAGCATACCATTTTCATTCGTGGTTTGCCTGGCGATATGTCTACAGATGAAATCAAGTAAGTTTTCGCTGTTCCATCTATGTTCCTTAGAACTGGGAATATTGGCTCATGGGGGACAACAACAAAAGTGCATTTACCATTGCCGCTGTGTGCCCATTAGTTATATACGCATATCACTCTATGTTTTCATTGTTTGTTGTTTGCAAAGAGGAAATAACGAATGATCTTTCCAGCTATAAAAAACTCTTGAATGATAGTCGATATTTAATGAACGCCAAATAATTGGAGGAGATTTTCACGATTGCCGTTGGACATTACTGTCTTCCCTATCTGTTACTCTATACCATTGTTTGCCCTTTGGATAGAGTTTTGCAATCGTTGCCTAGGAAAGGTGCTCTGAGCATCATCATGTTTCTTAAATTGGTTCACATTTCCCAATGTTTTCTTCTTCTGAAGGTGAGTGATGACAGCATGTGGGGAATATAACTCAAATGGAACGTATCAACTCATGCCCATTGTTCGTTAAAGTAATATTAGCATACTTTAGAGAGTATTTCGAGGACAGAATTGGACCAGTGTCTTTCGATTTTGTTAAAACAAGTGCCGATCAGCAGCGATTGTTCGTTGCGGTTCGTTTTGAGACTAG